TCAAAATATACACTCATCAAAAGATATTAATTTCTACATTATAGGTCCCTTTGAAAAGTCAACAAAAACACCTTCTGGGTCAAAGCTTCTTACATGAGCATGGAAGACCCAATTGAGATGAGAATAAAAGTTTTGTTTAGGGGACATCCTAAGCTTTCTAAAAAGTCCAAGGACACCTCTCTAGGATTAAAATTGGAGGAGATATGCCTTGTCAAAGTTGACCATTTTTGAAAAATTGCCAAAAGTCAAATGTGCTCAAAAATACATTTTTGTCAAATGGGCCTAGTTTTTCATAATTGCATCTTGCTTGTGACATGGTCCACGACCCAAATCGGCATCTACACTTCATTTTCTTCATTATTTATTTTATTTGGATTTTTTATTATTTAAAATTCAAATTAAATCAAATAAATTACAAAAAATGTAAAAGATTGATTTTTGATTTTATTTTTGTAGGAATCAAATCCAATCAAGCTAGCATATCATATCCAAATCGTGCAAGGGTTGATTGAAGCAAAAATAGCATGATTTTGGTTGTTTTGGAAAGATATAATACAAAAACAAAATCAAATCCAATCTCCTTAATTCACCAAGATACAATCCGTTTTTGTTAACCTAATTCATTCTATTACAAATACAAAACATAACCAAACCAAGAGAACAAGGATTTGCAGTAGAAAAAGGCCGTACCAAAACTCAAAAAAGTGGACAAAAGTGCTGGATAGTTTTGGGACCTAGAAGGCAATTCAAAGCATTTCAACACCCTCAATCGTTTCCTGGACCTTCCCAGAAGCTAACACGATCATATGCAAGCTTCCACACGGCCAGAATCGCGAACTACAGACCCACGGTTTGCTCACATAATCTTGAGTCTGATTTTACAATTTATGCTTTGTTAACTTTTAAGCATATCATGATATTTGTATCATCATTTGGAATGTTTTGGTTTACATAATTTTGTATTTTGATGCATAAATGATGAATTGCCATTATTAGGGTTCATGCTTGCGTTTTAGGGCTTTATTCTACAGGTTAAATTGAGCCAAGAAAAGAGCACCATGATACTCGTGAGATCAAAATGAGTGGATCTATGTATTCACCAGTAAATTATCATGCTTGCTTGTGATTTTTGAAAGATGCGGGGCTACAGCCATGGCAAACTGTCCGTAGGTATAAGTCTCATACCTAAAACGACGGACAGGGGAAGAAGAAGACAACGTGGCTGATAACCATTGGCCTGTTTAAATAAAACGCACGTTTTTTTTGTTTTTTGTCTTATCCAGTTTGTTTGACATATTATTGATTGTTGTTATTATATTAATAACTAAAGCATGTAGCCCAGTTGGTGAAGAGCGTGTTGTATGAGTAGGAGGACCTGGGTTCATCCCAGGTCCCATCATTTTCCCTATTTTCTTAATGTTTAATTGCAGATTCTATGCTCCGCGCATCCTGGCGCCTACCATACATCCATTAATCCAGCCATTTGATTCATCACCAATCCAATCCAACGTCCCAGGCAGCAAAGTCCATGGTGCACCCTCCAAGAGGGGCTACACAAGATCCACGCAAGGCTGGGCTCAGTAGTTAATGGGCTTACAAAATTCAGGCATACGCCCCCTCTTTTTCAGCTTCTAAAAGGCCCAATCTCTAAACCTTCTATTTTAATTCTTTTTTTAATTTTGTTAATTATTTTCTTTTTTTACAAAATAACACAAAAAATCAGTTTTTTTATTAAATCAAAAAATCACAAAAACCTAAAAAAAATCTTTTTTTTCCTAAAAAAAAATATTTTGTTTCTTTAATTAATTAATTAGTTTAATTATTTAGGGTAATTTACTTATTTTTCTATATAATTTAAATTAATTAGAAATTAGGGTTTAATTTGTACATACCTAATTTTTTCTCAAAAAATAATAATAACCTAAATATTTTTTCAATTAAATTTTTAGGGTTCTTTAATTCTCGCATTTAATTCGCCGCGCGTATTTTTTTATTTCCTTTTATTATTATTGTAACTGTTTCGAGGTTGTAATAGTAATTAGGGTTTAAACTTCCGCATTTTTATTTACAGTCAAGATAATTATGTATCTGCAAAAGCCTTGTAATAGCGTAGGACCTTTACCTTCTCGCTTTTATATTTTGGATGTTTGTATATAATTGTTAGCAACTTAGGCGTGTATGACTAACGAATCAATCTTAGATCACTAAACTACAAAGATAAATATAACTAAAATCAAACACTTTTACACACTTGCACCCCTAGGGTATTACCTCACTTGGTTGCCTCGGAAATAATGGTCGTGTCCCTTGAACATAGGGATACCTTAGCAGTGACCTGTGATTCAAAGCCATCATAAAGATCACAGTCTCTACTTGTCCCTCGAGTTGCCTACGAATTGATCTTATGACGATAGTCCCTTCGAAACGCTAAGGTATCCTTACTTGTTGCCATCAGTGACCATTTCTTCCCTTCGAACATCCCTTTAAAATTCCAACGACGATGCTACCTATTTCTCAATAATGGGATAGCATTGTCTAAAAGGAAAATGAACAGACTTTTTTCGAGTAGGTAGATTAGTTCCTAGGTACTTGCTCAAATGAACAAACTTTTTCACACCAAACACTTTTCAAAAAGTTTTCAAAAAACAACTTAGTAACGCTCTTGAGGATAGAAACAAGGGTTAAAACGAAGTAAAACAAAACTTTTCAAAATAAGCACACACAAGAAATTTGAAAAAATGAGCAAGTACCTAAGAGCCCGTGGAAAACCACGGATAAAAAGGGTGCTAACACCTTCCCTTTCTATAACCTACCCCCCGTACTCATAAACATCTCGAAAAAGGTTTTTTCTGTTCTTTTTCCTTTTCCTGATTGGATAAAATAAAAGTCGGTGGCGACTCTTGCTTACCGCAACATTTGCGAACAAAAAACACAAACCAGTATTAACAGTCGGTTCTACCACCGTATCGCACCTACCACAACCTAGAGGATAGATAACACGAGGATAGACTTGTGTATTAATCATAATCTAGAGGATGAATAACATAAACCCAAAAATTCACATACCTACCACAACCTAGAGGATAGATAATTGAATTTTTTTTGCGTTTATCACGACCTAGAAGATAAACGACACGAGATTTAGGCATTTGTAGGGCCATCTAAAGTTTTTACTTTGTGTTAATAGTGTTTTGTAAAAATATGAAGTAGGATGTCCTTCTTTGCTCTCATGAATTTTTTTAATGAAATAGAACATATCAAAGTGTCATTCTTTACTACAGTAGTTACATTTTAAGGTTTTACAGTGAGAAGTGGTTTTAGCATTACAAATGTTATCGTAGTTTTTACTATTATTTTTCAGTTAATAGTTAAGGTTGACTTTGTCGTAAGAGGCTTTTGATTTCCTAACAAAATATTCAAGATCTCTTCCTATGGTGACCTTGACAAGTGCTTTTTAAGGTCACAAATTTTATCTTTCAAATCATCACATTCCTTACACTTGTCAAGTTCATCATCTTCATTTGAAGTGGAAGAACTTTGAACTAGGTTATTTTGTCTCTCTTAAGGATTTTTATTTCTCTTTTAAGGTTTTTATTTTTAAGTTTAATAGAGTAAATAATATCCTTGGATGTGGAGACAATTTGTTCCAGTTTACTTGTTTCTTTAGTTAGGTTCTTATAAATGCGGAAAAAATCATGATAGGAGAAGTAAGAGGTTTTCTCATTATCTTGATGATTTGTCATGATACAAATATTGGATTCTTCTTCTTCATCGACTAAGGATTCCATATCATTGTCTTCCCAAGCAACATAAGCTTTCTTTCCCCTTTTCTAAGGTTTCTTAAATTTCTTCTTATATGCATTTTTAGCTAAGGGACAATATGGCCTGATGTGTCATTTCTTTATACAATTGTAGCATTTTTGAAAGGATGGTGTTTTTTCCTCATCTTTTTCTTTCTCTTCATTTTTCTTATTCTCATTATTTAGGAATATTTTGAAGTTCTTTACTATAAGAGACATGTCGCCATCAGTGTTAGATTCTTCGGCTTTGAGTGCTAGAATTTTGTTTTTCTTGTCTCCTTCTTCGTCTATGGAAAGTCTTTTTAGTTCTATTTCTTGTTCCTGTAATTTTCCAAACACGATGTGTGTGTTGGTGTGTGTGTCCATAATCACAAATTCCTTAGATTCACAAATCGCATTGACTTTGGGTTGACAGCTATTATTTAGATGTCTAAGAATTTTTATGACTAATTCCTCATATGAAAATATTTTTCTCGAAATTCTCATATGATTCACGATATGGGTAAGTCGTATTTGAACCAGAAAACACCTGGGCACATTACAGGCCATAGCCCACTTTACGTCATGTCTGTAATGGGCCCAACTTCCCCACCTCTCTTATGACATTCATAGTTTATCTTGATTTCGCATACTAAATAGTAGATGACTTATTGCTAGAGTAGATGTCAAGGGATGAATTATATCATTAAGAATATATGATATAGGTTTAGGAGAATCAATAAGGTGTAGTGATGACTTGGGATTAGGGAATAAAGGTAATTATTGAATATGATCCAAGAATCCAAATGATCAAGGAATGGGATAACATCTCTAGGGTAAATTATATTAATTATCTATTCCATCCGGTCACTATTATAAGTAAAAAAATAATCTTAAATCTTGGTCAATATTATAAGCAAAACTCATTAAATTTTAGACTAATTAATGCTTGTATTACTATTATACCTTTAATTTAATTCAAAAGTATTTAATGTTAGTAGTTGATTCATCAAATATAAATAAGGATATTATAGTAAATTTTCCTTTGAATGTGTATGAAATCAAGAAAATGAATTACATTTAACTAACTTTCTTAATTTATATAAAAATAGTTATTTTAGCTTATAATTATGACAGAAGGAGTATATTCTTTGTTCCATTATAGAATATATCACAAGAGTTACGAGTTATGACACCAATTTAGTTGCAATACAAAGAAATATGCAAGAATTATTGCAAGGTAAACGATATTCGCTGGTTTTAGATGATGCATGGAAAAGAAATCAAGAATTGGAATTCAGATTAAGTCAGGACAATTGGAATAAGTTGAAATCCGTGTTGTCATGTGGGTCCAAAGGTCTATTAGTTTCCATTCGGGGCAAGGATGTTGTAGAAATTGCGAGAACATGCCAAGCTCATTATCTATCGGGTCTAACTGAAGATGAATGTTGGTTGTTGTTCAAACAATATGCATTTGGAAAATGAGAAATAAGAGCAGATTCTTAACAATATTGAGGCAAATCTCTAATTTCAATGTGTTGGAATAATATAACAAGTGTGAGTAAGTGAGGAAATAGTCCCATATTGGATAGGAATGTGGAGACTTGAGCATATATAAGTGGGAGAACCCACTCACCTATCACCTTAAGGTTTTAGGTGGAAAAGTGGTGTGTCTCTCACATAAGGTGCTTGTTCCTACACTATGCATCGATGCTCCTAATAAACTCCCCCCAACATGGTATTAGAGCCTTTGGTTCGAGAAAGGGACCTTAAGGAACTTGTATCGAAATTCTCCCTAGTATCTCCCCCCAACACAATGGTCTTACAACTCTTCACCTTAATAGAAATGGATATGTGATATCCCTCCCTGAGGGTATGTTAAGAAACCTGACTCCACTTCAAACTCTAACAATATCGGATTTCTTGAAATTGATGGAATTACCAAAGAACATATGATTCTGGTAACATAGTTAATGGTTTTGATTGTTAAATTGTAATTCAGTGTGTCGAAACTATGTGTCGAAAAGATTTAATTTGTTTTAGATTTAAATAGATTTGATTTAAGTCTAGAATAAATTAGATTTGATTTAGTAACAAAAAGATATTTTGGGCTTTGGGCTTAGGGTGTAAGCTCAGTTATAAATAGAGGGAGTAACCCTTATTTTTGTAAGTAAGTCAAGCAAGTTGTATTCACAGAATTTGCAGTTGCAAGTGAATAACAAAGTTTTCACAGTTTGTGAGCAGAGAGAAACTCTGCAGAAATTATTTGTCTTGTCTTCTTTTTCTTTGTTTTTATCATAACTAATCGTCATTGTGGTAGAAATTCATCATAGTCTTTTGGTGTATTTCCAACACCTAGTATCAAGAGCTTTTGTTTCGATTCAAGGGAAGTATCAATCAAGAACGATTCAAGAATTCATGATGACAAGTTATGGGAATGCAAACTATCCAGCAACGCTACCAATTCTGAAAGTTAACAACTATGAGAATTGGTGCAAACAGATGAAAGTCTTATTCAGGTGTCAAGGTCTCTGGGACCTTGTAAAAGATGGAGTCGAAGCGCTTCGAGAAAACGCTTCAAAAGAAGAAAAGAAGAAATACACAGAATCTGAGAAGCTGAGCTATAAAGCATTATTTATAATTCATCAATGTGTCATCCTAGACAATTTCGAAAAGGTTAGTGATTCAGAATCTGCAAAAGAAGCTTGGGAAATCCTTGAGAAGTCTTTTGGAGGCGCTGAGAAGGTGAAAGAAGTGAGGTTACAAACTCACAAAAGGATGTATGAACTGCTTCAGATGGAAGACAGTGAAAGCATGTCTGATTTCTTCACTAGAGTTACAAAACTAGTAAATCTGTAAGTGTTTAGTTATTGGCATGTATTTTTGGTAAATCCAGGTGTGTGAATGTCATGACTGATGTCATAACGTTCTGGATTATTAGGTACTTTATGCAGAAAAAGTATGGCATACAGTAGCTACTGTTTATGAGTGTGTATCTGAGCATTTTGCAATGATCACATTTATTGCCTTCTACCAAAATCAGTAAACAGGAATTCTGATGTCATAACAAATGTTAAGACATCCTGTACTGATCTAACAGTTATGCAGTTTGGTTAATTCTGAGATTTTTCAGGAAGCTGGTTCATTCTTTCCAGAACAGAATCTCACGTGGACTTTGGGTTAACCTAGCTCAACCCTAATCTGGTTGATAAAGTCTTATGACCTAGTCTTGAGGTTAACCCTAATTAACCCTAGCTTTTCGTGGAAACCCTAACTGAAGAAACAGTTGCATATATATTCAACAGGAATGCTGATTGGAAAGCAACTCTTTAACAGAAGATCAATTAGGAGTTGTATAGTTTTAACTGTTGTAATCTAAGCAAGTATCATTGTGATAAGTGACTTGGAATAGGTTTTGATTGTAAGGGTTTTTGTATCACTCAAAGCTTTGAAGCAAGAGTGTTTGTGTCTCTTGACTAAAGCTTTGAAGCAAAGTCAAGTTAGGTTTATGTATCACTCAAAGTTGTGAAGCACGAGTGTTTGTGTTACTTGATTAAAAAGCTGTGAAGCATAATCAAGTGTATGTTCTGAAGAGTGTCTTCATTATTTCATTAGTCAATTGTTTAAGTATCACTGCTGTGATTGAGGGGGAGTGAGTAGGAACTCAGGTTTAAGTTGAACTTAGATTGAAGTTGCATTGGGTAGGTCTTAAGTGAAGGAGATAAACTGGTTGGTTTATTCCTGAATTAATATCTCTTATAGTGGATTTCCTCCCTGGCTTGGTAGCCCCCAGAGTAGGTGTTGTTTCACACTGAACTGGGTAAACAATTGACTGTGTTCTTTACTATTTTTATTTATTGTCTTATAGAAAGTCAGATACGGTGTCATAACATTCACTGTGACATTGAGTATCTGCTGCCAGAATTTCAATTGGCATCAGAGCAGGCACCCTGCCTGTATTACTGGGTGAGATCTAGGGATATCACTTTCTGGCACTATGGACAAAGAAGGAGTTTTTGGAAACAGACCACCCATTCTGGATGGATCAAATTATGACTACTGGAAACCTCGTATGTTTGCCTTCTTAAAATCACTGGACAAAAAGGCTTAGAGAGCTGCTGACAAAGGATGGAACCATCCCACCATAACTGAGAAAGATGGGACAATCAGTCTGAAGCCTGAGGAAGAATGGAGCAAAGAAGAAGATGAGTTAGCCCTGGGTAATTCCAAAGCTTTAAATGCCTTGTTCAGTGGAATTGATAGAAACATATTCAGACTAGTACATCAATGTGAACTGGCCAAGGAAGTGTGGGACACTCTCAAAACTACTCATGAGGGCACATCCAAAGTAAAAATGTCAAGGCTTCAGATGCTGACTACCAAGTTTGAGAACCTAAGGATGAAGGAAGATGAAACCATTCATGAGTTTCACATGAACATCTTGGAGATTGCCAACACCTCAGGAGCATTGGGAGAAAAGATGTCTGAAGAAAAACGGGTGAGAAAGATTCTCAGATCCCTGCCTAAAAGATTTGCAATGAAGGTAACTGCTATAGAGGAAGCCCAGGATATCAGCAAGTTAAAGGTGGATGAACTCATTGGGTCTCTTCAGACTTTTGAGATGGGGATCAGTGACAATGTTGACAAGAAAAACAAGAGCATAACACTTGTATCCAACACTGAAGATGAAAACAAGGAGGATGAAGAAGAAAATATTTCAGAAGCTATAGCCATGCTTGGAAGACAATTCAACAAACTCATCAAGAGAATGGATCCAAAGTCAAGGTCAAATGTTAAGAACATCCCCTCTGACATTAACAGATCTTATGACTCCAACAGAAGACCAAAGTCTGAAGAGAAGGGAAATCAAGGCAGAGGAATTCAATGCCATGGTTGTGAAGGATATGGGCATATTCGAGCTGAATGTCCTACCTTTCTTAATAAACAAAAGAAAGGAATGTCTGTTACCTGGTCTGACTGTGATTCAGAAAGTAATTCTGAAGAAGAATCTGCCAAACTAGTTACTGCACTAACTGGTGTTTGTACCTCTGAAAGTGACACTAGTGATGAGGAAGTGACATTTGAAGAACTGGCTGATACTTACAAGAAATTATGTATCAGAAGTGCTGAAGTCTGTATGCAAAATGAGAAACAAACAAAACTCATCATAAAGTTGGAGGCTGAAAAAAGGGCAGACATTGAAACTATAAGTCATCTAGAAGGGGAAGTTCAAATGCTGAACTCAAAACTGAACTAGATGACCAAATCTGTCAAGATGCTGACAAATGGAACTGACAAATTGGAAGAAATCCTTCAGGTAGGACAAAATGTGGGAAACAAGTCTGGTCTAGGATTTGTGGCAGCAAAGAAATCTGGTGCAGACAAGAAGATCAGGCCTGATAAACAAATGTCAAAGCAGAAGTCACAACATAACACTCAACATCGGGAACAGAGAAATATGAAGAAAAAGTACCAAAGATGGAGATGTCATCATTGTGGGAGGTTTGGTCACATAAAGCCATTCTGCTTCAGATTGTATGGATACCCCAATCAGAACCCATGTGTCAAACCTAAATCTAACAAGGTACCACATACTCCACAGTGGAAGAAAAAGGCTACTGCCCTGATAGCCCACACTTCCCTTAGAGTCTCTGCAAAGGAAGACTGGTACTTTGACAGTGGGTGTTCTAAGCACATGACTGGAATCAAGAACCTTCTCAATAATGTTAAACCTCACACCACTAGTTATGTGACCTTTGGAGATGGTGCTAGAGGAGAAATCAAAGGAGTTGGTAATTTGGACTGCCCTGGAGTTCCAAATCTGAATGAAGTACTATTGGTAAAAGGCTTGACTGCTAATCTCATTAGTATCAGTCAATTATGTGATCTAGGATTCAAGGTCAACTTCTCAAAATCTGAATGTCTTGTAATTAATGAAAAACAAGAAGTTGTAATGAAAGGAGTCAGATCTAAAGACAACTGTTACTTGTGGGAGCCTGAGAACACTAATTACTCCACTGTGTGTTCTATTGCCAAAGAAGAAAAAGAGGTGAAACTGTGGCACCAAAAACTTGGCCATCTTCATCTAAGAGGAATGAAAAGGATTATCTCCATGGAGGCAGTCAGAGGGATTCCAAGACTGCAAATTGATGAAGGGAGAGTTTGTTGTGAATGTCAGGTTAGTAAGCAGACTAGGATGTCACATCCAAAGTCAAGACATCTGACCACCTCTAAGGTTCTGGAACTTCTACATATGGATCTGATGGGACCAATGTAGGTGGAAAGTCTTGGTGGAAAGAGATATGCCTATGTTGTTGTGGATGACTTTTCCAGATTCACCTGGATTAACTTCATTAGGGAAAAATCTGATGTGTTTGAAGTTTTTAAAGAACTGTGCAACAGAATTCAAAGAGAAAAAGAAGGGTGTATTGTCAGAATCAGAAGTGATCATGGCAAGGAATTTGAAAACAGTAAGTTTAATGAGT